GCCCGGCCCTTACTTGCAGGATTTGAAATCTTCTGTCTAGTGTCCTCCAGGTGGAAGAGGTCGTGTAGGCTAAAGGGTCCGCGGTGGTGACCAGGATTCAGGGAGGACAGGGCAGCTCTCTCCTCTTTGGGCCTTTTTTCCCCCTCTGTAGATAATTCTCCGAGATCCCTCAGGAGCAAACACTGACACAAAGATTGCAGGGAGGGGAGTTGAAGGCTCACAGCTCTGGAAGCACCAAGCAGCCCAAGGAGCGGGGAAGCAGCAGGGTATGCGACGTGGGCTTGCCATAGAGCCATGCTCACACTCTGGGTGTGGAACTTCACCCCACTGGAAAGCGGTGGGGAGATGCTTGCTTCGCTCCGCTCGAGGGTGGGGTCCTGGACCCCACAGTGGACTCCCTCCAGTCACTCCGAGGGCGTTCGCTCCCCTGCACTTCTAGCCCAAGCTTTGTAGGCTCGGCCTCACTTTTGGAGGCTCTGGAGAGCCACAGCCAGGCAGAAGCAGCCACAGCGGTCAGCAGCCCTTGGAGCACACAGAAATGCGCAGCCCGGGGGTCTCGGCAGTGTTAGTCGCATCCTCCAACTATTTGAGTGTGGCCTCAGAGGGCTTCATGAGGTCAAAGCGGAGGCAGGAGGAGGCTTTCTGAGGGCTCTGAGCTCCCGGAAGGGAAGAGGCCGGGGAACAGGTGGGACTGGCCTGGTGGGGGGCGTAGGCAGGGGTCACGACAGCAAAGTAACCTCCACTGGTGACCCACGTGTCGCTGAGTCACGCCTGCTATGAGGACGCGCTTATACTCTCTGGTCTGGAGCTGCTGAGGCCCGGCCCCGCCCAGGGGAAGGGGTCGGGGAGGGGTGGCATTGCGGGCCTGGCGTGCAAGGCAGCACTGCATGGGCCATCGGCCCTGGCCCTGGGTCTTCAGGCCTGAAGGCAGGAGAGATTTCCCAAGAACGATCAGCCGCTCTGCCAGAGGTGTGGGTGTTTATGCTGGGAGCACACGGGGGAGGAGGAAGGGAGAGGAAGGGGTGCCGGACTAGGTGTGAGACCGGGCTCCCCAAGAGCAAGGTGGGACCAGATCCAGGTCCTGGAAGGAAGTGTGGGTGGACTGGGGGGGTTGGGCACTGTAGGATGTCCAGTGAGTGAGAGGCACGGGAGGCCAATCGGCATCCTCTCTCTCTCTTTTTTTTTTTTTGCGGCAAGGTCTCCCTATGCAGTTCGGGCTGGCTTTAAACTTGCTTATGTAGCCCAGGCTGGTGTTGAACTCATGGAGATCCTCCTGCCTCAGTCTCCCAAGTGCTGGGATTACAGGCATGCACCACCATGTCCCACTTGGCATCCTCCCTTAAGAGGAGCCCTCCCAATGATTTGGCCCACATTGCTCTTTTTATGGGTGAAGAAACCGAGCCAGCCACAGAAATTTGTTTCCAAGGTGAGTAGAGACCAGGAGATTACTTCTTCAACTGTAGTTTAGAAATCTGTTTGCAATGACAACCGTTTTATTTTCCTGTGCTGGGGACCAAATCCAAGTCCATGTGCATGCTATGCAAGCACTCTGCCAGTGAGCTGGCCTCTGGCCCATGCCCTGCTGCTGGAAATGTAAGATCCTCGGTGCAGAAACTGTATACTTCCTCCCACCTCAGGTACAGATTTGGATTACACAGAACCCTA